TTTTTTTTAAAAACGTCCTTCCGAAGCGGGCAACGGGATTTCAATTCCGATGACCGACAGCTTCCTACGGGCAACCCCACACCAAAAATAGTGCCGACAGGCACCCCCAAGAAGTAATTAACAAAAAAGATACGTCCTTTTGGGAGTTTATTTTAGCCCCAGAACAAGAAAATACACTTGACTCTCTAGTTATGAGTTAATGTTTGTAGGGTCTTCTTCATGGATATGTTTTCAAGACACTTTCAATCCGATCTTGTTTGGACGTATGCACTTGGGCTATCACGCAAAATTTACTTTACAAAATTTCTCCAAATTTTTTCTCTTTTTTGTCTATCTTCTTTGTATGTCCTTATTTTTTAATTTTTCTATTCTCCAGATCATTCATATGATCTGAAAGAGAGAATTACTCGAAAAAAAAAATTATATGACAATAGACAAGCTGATGACTCCTTAGAAAAAAGAGAAAAAGAATGAAAATAAATGGTCCCAACTCTTCTTGAAGGAATGGTTTGGTTTTTTTTACTCATAAAGTGATTTATCATACTCTTTATGCTTCTCTTCCTCCTGCCAATTTGTATAAATGGATTTGGTTTAAATGTTTTTCTTTAATATATCCTTTTCATTCTTGAAAAGTTGTTATTGAAGATCTTAAAACTTTGTATATTCTTTCATCTAGAGGTTTACATTTTAATTTAATTTGTATGTAATAATAATTTTGAATCGCATGATCTCCGATTTTTGAATGTCCTTATTCTCATTCTCTCATTAAAAATTATTTAATTAATGGTTATTTTTTATACTTTCCTCAATTTTTTTAAAGTCAATTGTTATGTTGACAACTTTACTTGCAAGACCTCTAAAAGATTTTATTTATTAGCTTTGCAAATTACTGCTTACGTGATTCATTTTGAAAGGAACTCCATAATTTTTAAGAATAATTCTAAATTCGTTGATTTTAGTACTTGTTATATTTAATGGTTAATCAGTTACAAGACTAAGAAATTGATATTTAAGAATTGCATTCATCATTTTACCCAACTTCTTTTTAATTTATAAATTTTCAGTAGGATTTGTTGTGCTTTTTGGGTTTGCCTCTCTTTTGTTTTCCTTGGCTTTTGGTTTTATGCTCGGATTTTTCTTTTTTTTTGCAGTGATGTTGTAACTTTGTTGCTCCTATTTTTTTTGGATGCCTCTATTTTCATTGGTTTTTCTCTTTGTATTCTTTTGTTATTTTTTATGTTTTGGATTGTTTTATTTCATTTTTTTTGGGGATCTTCTTGCTTTGTGGTTGTTCTTTGGAGTATTGACGTTGTGGTTTTTTATTGGAGCTGCTCGGTTTAGTGGTCTTCCTTCTTGAGGCTATTCAATTGAGAATATTTGGTTTTGATACTTTGGTTGCTCAGTGGAGCTTATAAGTTTGTGTATTTTGGTTTGATATTTTTGATTCCTCGCTATTCATTTTAATTTTTTTTTTCCTTTTTGAGATTTGATTTTAGTTCTTTCTTGCAATTTTATTTGGAGGGAAACACATTATCAATTTTTTTGCAATGGCTTATAGTGAGAATTTTTTTTTTGAGATTTTATTTTATATTGTCTTTGCAATTAAATTTGAAGGGAAATTGTTTTATATCATTTATTTTGCAAAGGTTTTATACCAAGGTTTTTTTTTGGTATTGTCTTTGCAATTATATATGGAGGGAAATCATTTTCAACCATTTATTGCAATTTTTTTTTTATAATAAGATTTTTTGCAAAGGTTTTTCTATGATTTCTTTGTAGTGAGTTTTTGTTGGTGATTGATATTTATCTTCATTTTCTCTTTTTTTTGAATTTGTTTTTAGGTTAATTTTTACCTAGTGACTTTGTCATTCTTTTGAGATTTTATCTTGGTATTTTCCTTGTAATTAAATTTTGAATTTGTTTTTAGGTTAATTTATAATGTACCCATTTTTACCTAGTGACTTTGTCATTCTTTTAAGATTTTATCTTGGTATTTTCCTTGTAATTAAATTTGGAAAAAATTCTATTTCAACCAATTATTGTAAGGTTGTATTGAATTTTATTTCTTTAGTTTTAGGTTGAAGTTGCTTTGTAAGGTTTGAGTTCGGGTATATATATATATATATATA